GTTAAGGTAAGGTGAAGAATAGGCTTCAGAGGGAAAAAAATCCCATGGTCTTCATGTGCTTATTATATTTGTTTGCCAGTCTCCCGAGTTTTACCTAATATTCATCCTTATCTGAGCTAGGCTAGTAAACCCCAAACTACTATGTTAGCAACCAAACTTGTCAGAAGGGTTTTACAAAATAAGCATAAGGGGGTTCTGAAGAAGAACCCTCCCTCAGGGGTGGTCTCTTACAAATAAACCATACACCCTGTATTGTAGTTGTTTAAGTATTGTGGTGACACAAAAGCTGCTTCTTCTTCCTTCCAGATCCTGGTCATGAAGCTTTCTGGTACAGAGCTAAAGGGAATCCACATTCTGTTTAAAACCCCAATCTCATATCCATTGATCACTCACCATCTTTTGTTCCCAGCCTCACCCAGGCCTGGCCTACAGGGCCCTGACCTCTTCCATGTTTGATCTTGAGATTTCATTTGTCTTTTTTGTGCACATCGGGGGAATTCTAGGATTGAACTCAGCAGTGCCACATCCCCAGCACTTTTATATTTTGAGACAGGGTCTCACTAAGTTGCTGGGGGCCTAGCTAAATTGCTGAGGATGGTCTAGAACTTTCCATCTTCCCGTTTCAGTCTCCTGAGTTGCTGGGATTACAGGTGTGCATCACTGTGTCTAGCCTTCCTATGTTTCCTTGACCTCACACTGCTAGCCTCCCTTGGGTGGGTACCAATAAAAGAGTTTCAGTCTACAGGCTGCTGCTATCTAGTTCTCTCCTTCTGCTCAGAGGAACATAGAGGGCACGCAGGTCACCCAGGACAATTTCCTATGCAATCAGGAAAGACATGCTAGTCTCCCTTCTTTCAGGCACGCCCATTCACTACAAGTAGTTCTGTCAGAACCCTCCTCACTTAGTTGTTGGAATGGAAGTAAACACTTAGTACTCTATTTGAAATTAATGACAGTACTCCTTAAATGCTATCTCATCTCCCAGCTGCCTCTTATAAGGACTAAAAAAAAACCCCAGGGTATACTATAGCAAAATCAGCTCAGCTTTAATGTCTTAATGGAGGTGTATTTGGTGACTCTTTTAAGAGCAATGTTTTTCTCAGCCTTGGATGGCCACAGGAATCATCTGGAAGCTTAGAAAGAAAACCTAAGGAGTGGATACCACAATTTGAGGTTTCAGTTTAATTGGCTGGGGGTAATGTGCTACTTAAAAAATGTCTCAGGTGAGTCCACTGATTGGTCTTTGGTAAGAACCAATTTTTTCGAATGGAGTAGTACCCAATCTTCATCACTTTCATCTGTGAGATTTTATCAATAATTCTTAGACTTCTGAAATTTCATTCAGTATTCTTTCACATATCACATCAAATAATAATGAAGGGCAGGAGTTCCAGGAGTACTGGTGATGAAAGAAACCTAACAGATCGTTTTGTTCATTTTTCTTCCTTTGGGGTCTGTGAACTAACAATTACAGAATCACCTCAAGCATTAGTTTAAAAAGAAGATACCTAGGCCTTATTCTCACTCCTCCTAAATTGACATCTCTCAAATGGAGAGGAGGGTTAGGAGGGTTAGTTAGCTTTCCCAAGCTTTCCCAAGTGATCTTTAGGCACGCTACTCACGTTTTAGAACCATAAATCTGTAGCAAAGGTTCTGAATCCTGGCTGTACATTAGAATAACATATGAGTTTTTAAAAAACCCCAAATCCCATGCTGGCTTAGAGCAGTGGTCTCAATCTCAGCTGCACTTTAGTCCCATTCCCAGTTCCCACCCTGTGCCAGTCACATTGGAGTTTCTGGGGTGGGCCTGAATAAGGAAGCTGTGTGTTTTAAAGCTCCCTAGGTAATTCCAATATGCAGCAAAGGTTGCAAACCATTCTTCTGGAAATTCTAGGTTAATTGTTTTGGGATGGGTCTCAGGAATTGACAAATGCACCCCAGGTAATTTCAATGCATAGCATTAGCTGAGAACTATCATGATTGGTATCCTTCAGCCTACAGGTTCTGGCTTACCTCTTTCTCTCACATGATGCCCAAGCAAATCTTGACCAAGGCTGATACTGATGTGTGGAGATATAGATTCATGAGGAGTTATGGTTTATGCATACATAGACCTCTAATGCCTTCTTGAGCCAGTCTCATTAATTAATCTACCATTAACCAAACAAATGCACATTAAACATTTAATTATGTGCCAGGTACTCTGCAATGAATGAGATAATGACAAATAAGACATTGTTCCTGACACCTCAATAAGCTTATAGATTCATGGGTCTGAAGGAGGGAGACAGATAGGCAAATAGAGGTGCAACAGAAAGTAATAATTATTACAATGGACAAGTAAACAAATAACTTGGGAACACAGTAATGATAGCAACTCAATCTGCCTTGAAGAGTCAGTGAAGATAGGCTTGAAGAAATGCTATTTAAGCTAAGTCATTCCTACATAGACTAAAATACCCTCCATGATGCAATTTCCATCTACTTCATTTCTTGCTACTCTCCCTGGCTTCAGGTTCAATCACATTGAATTTCTTCCTATTCTTTGAATGTCTTTTAACAAGCCTTCAGTATTTGTTTATCCCCTTTGCTTAGAACATTCTTTGCGCTTTCCCCACTTTTACCTACTATCTAGGATTTTGCTTAGCTATTAGTTTCACGAAGAAGTTCTCTCTGACTTCCTGAATGATGATGTGTGCCTTTGTCATATATCCACGGACCACCCAGCAGTGCTTTGTTTGTAACATGCACATCTTTATTGCACATCAGTGACTTTGAAGCCTGGGTACTCCATGAAATCAAGAGAAAGAGCTGTCTCCTCTACCACTGTGTGTCCTGTGCTGTGCACAGGATCCAAAACTACTGAATGAATGAAGTCATACATGAATGATGGGATGAATTGCATTCCATGAACAGAGGGCAATGTGTGCCAAACCATAGAGGCATGACATTCTGTGGCATGTTCTAGGAACAGCAAAATTTTTGGACGGTCATAGTGCAGAATAGGCAGGAAGAGGTATACAGAGCTGAGTCAGAAGAGGTAGGCTGCTGAGGGCCCCCTATAAAACCCTGTGATCCAAACTTTATTCTGTAGCAGGTGGAATTGCATGTGGTTTTATGTACAGGTGAATGATATTTAGGTTTATCATTCAGGACAGTTACTTTAGAAGCAGCATAGAGGATGAACTGAAAAAAAAAGATGAATTTAAAGGAGCTCAGTTAGGAGATGTGCCAGTACTACAGTGAGAAATGATAAAGGCTTTTCTGAATTAATGAAGGGGAAGAGCTCCATTCAAAAGGTATTTTTGAGGTAGAATCTACAGCGCTTGCTGACAAACTGCACGTGGGGGTAAGTGTGAAAGATGATGTCATGGTCTAGTTTGGGAGACAGGCTGTTTGGGGATACCATTAATGGAAACAGAATATTGGAAGAAAAGAGATAATTTCAGGGAAAAAAATAATGAGCTTAGTTGTAAACTACTGAGAGTTCTATGTGCCTATGGGGCATCTGAGTGAAGTGTTTTATGCAGTTAGAAATGCTTAAAAATCTCAGCTTGGTACCATATTGATTGTAGATGTGACCAGAGTTGTCCAATTGACTATGTTGTCTTCTATTTATGTACTAACAGACAAACTTTAGACACTGTCAGTTTCATATTGATTTCATGATTTGTGCTACTTTGGGCTACAATTGGCAATCAAAATAACTACTTCAGCAGGGGAGTCTCGATAAAGTCACTTTTTGCTTATTTTCTTCAATATATACATACAGCTATGTTAACCTCACCCAAATTATGAAGTGGACAATTTTTTTTTTTATTGGTGGCTGTGCTGATGTATTCCAGTCTTAATAGATCATGAGTTCTATGGGTTCAGAAAGGAAGTGTTGTTTGTTTTTAAGCTTGGTGCCAAGTACAATAGAAATGCAAATTACTGGATGGATGGATGGATGGAGGGATGGATGGATGGATGGATGGATTTATAATCTGACTGCTGGAATGTGTAATACTTTATGGAACCAGTCACCTAGAAATTGAAAATATCATGTCCTACTACTTAAAAACCTAAGTGATATTTTAGTGAGATGTTGTTGTCCATAGAAACAGGGTGGAAGAGATCACTATAATTATTTTTGAATAGTCTTTTATTATATAATTTTCTCTTGAAAATAAGAAATAATATAGGGATTTTAGATTTTATAGCAACTAAAGACTATATGTATTTTGAAACATTAACCTGTGATATAAACATTGAAAACTATTATGCTTCGTACCATTGAAGTTGATAGATGGGTACATGATCAAAGGTTTGTTTTAGGGAAATAAACTTGTGGGCCAGATGAAGAAGCTGGAGGAGAAGAAATCATTCCAGTTGAACTGAGAAGAGATAATAAGGACCTGGAATAATGCAGTGGTGGTGAAGTGGAGAGTCCATTAATTTATTTATTCCTCGAATATTTATTCATAGTTTCATACCAGACTCTGGGGGATGAAATGGCAAACAAACTAGATCAAGTTCCTTCATTAAAGGAGTTCATAGATAAGTGAAGGTGAATGCACATCAATCAAATGATCATACTAATAAGTGTAACATTGTAATTGCAATGAAAAAATTGTATGGAGAGTCAGACTGAAAAAAAAAAAACATCTCATAGATGCAATTGACCATAGATGGTTATTGGTGTATCAGATTAAGTAATAGACATTTTTCCTGCACTTTCTTCTTTTTCAAACTGATTTGTCTGACAAAAGTAACATACATGAAATGCCATCCTAGAAGATATAATAAGTAACAAATTATCTGGAACAGATTAAATTGAATTTTTACCAAAAAATAAAACAATAATCTCTGAGTTACAAGTTCTGATTTTGCAATTAATTTTATGTGGTTTTCAATTGGAATAATGTCACCATTCAATTGAAATCATGGTGCTTTGCTGATGAGATATGGTTTATTCTAGGTCTCTCCATTTTTATTTATGTATTTATTTTTTCACCCAGATGTTGCAAGAGCAATTGAATTACTGGAAAAACTACAGGAATCTGGAGAAGTACCAGTACACAAGCTACAGTCTCTCAAAAAAGTGCTTCAGAGTGAGTTTTGTACAGCAATCCGAGAGGTAGGACACTAAGATTTTAATAACTATATTCAGCCATATGTCTTCTAAATAGAAAACATGGTTTTTCCACACACTTGGTTGAAATTGTTAAGATTAGAACTACATCTTTACTGCCTGTTTTTAGAACCTTGGACAGATGATAAAATATAATTTAGTCTGCTAAATTCTTAAATTAGATCCATCCAGGATTTATACATTTATCTAAAAACCAAATGTTGATCTTCTGGTACCAGAGAAAGGCCTGCTGCAACAGATAAGTGTTCCATGTAGTCTAAACTATTTAGCACTCATGTGAAGCCACCAGAAATTCAGGTAGAAACAGTCACAGTCAATGAGAGCTGAGATTTGCTTAAGAGAACACTCAGCTAAGTCTTCCATAGGTAAATCGGATAGAGTAAACTCCTACTGACTAAAGTTTTAGTTACCCAAATATTACTGTCTAGTACAATAATGGAAAATATCCAAACAGGCTGGTGTTCCTCCATAGTAAACCTTTGTAATGTTTTCCTGGCTACTAACAGTTTCAAGAAGAGTGAGGTGAAACAAATGTGCTGAAATGTCTATTTGAATTTTGTATTGACTCATAGTAGAATTGACTATTAAACTGATGTATTCAGTTGGTCATAAGAAAACCCCCCTTGAAATATGTCAGTTGTATTTTTTCATTCAGTAACCCCTTGGCCATTAAGAACTAAATAATATTTCATTAATCAGAACCAAAACCCATAAATCTGTCATATTTGACCTCCTAGAAGTTCCCAGTAATGAAGAACCTATCATCCTCCTCCTCAAAACCATATGAACCCAGTGACTATTTAGAGAATTTGTTGTAGCATATAGCTTATGCCTTTCAAGGAATGGATGTATCAACTGTTCTTCCTCTATGCAGTTTTACTTGTGGTTAATGTACATTTTCAACAATTCTAGTTTATGAATACTCAGAGGATGCAAGACTCAGAGAGGCATATAAAACTCTACAGATTTAAACTGTAGCCTAGCCAATACAGTTAACATTTAGACATTGCTGGAATTCAACTTATACTGTACTTATGTTCAATCTTTATCAGGTGAAGTTGTTCACTGTTTAATTTTTGTTAATACAGAACACAGCTTGAGTAAGCAACCAACCGTAATTACATGTCTAATTTTTTAACCTTTGAATTGATCAAAGGCTGAAAGGAAGTTTCTCAAAGCATATGAATTCTCTGCCATTGGCTTTCCCTCAGTGGGAAAGGTGTAAGATATCTAGAAACCCCATGGGTGGCCTCACTAACTCCTGTGATCACTGTGCAGACCAAGGCTAAATTCCCTCTACACTTCTTTCTTCACAGAGTGCCATTCCCCTGAGATCTGGCAACCAACTTTTCCTTTTTTAGAGATTCTATCATCTCTTCTGTGTTGTAGCATTCTGCTATCCACAGAACTAAAAGATAGGATATCATATACTTATTTGCTCACTGATTATATGGCTCGTGACCCAATTCAAAGTCTCTGCATTAGTGAAATTTGCATTCCAGTGGGAGAAAGTTGTGAAAAATAAGCATACAATTTTACAATACCAGAGAATGATGAGACTCTGGAGAGACATAAACCAGGACAACAGGGTTGAGTTAAGTTTAGGGTGGTCAGAAACAAACAAACACACAATACACTAATGGAAGTAAGGGAGCAAATACAAAGGAGTACAGTGTTCTAGGCAGAGGAAACCTCAAGTACAAAACCCAGAGCAAAGAATGATCTTAATGCACGGAAGGAATACTCCAAGAGCCAGTATGTCTGGAATGGAAAATTCAAGGTAGGCTCCTTAGGCAGCTGGAGAGCAGATCACGTAAGGTCTCTCGGGCCATAGTGAGAACGTTGAACTTCATTTTAAGCATGACAGGAAGCCGTTGGAGAGTTTCGGCCTGACCTAAATTGTTTTTTGGAAAGGTCTCTCTTTCCACTATGAGAATACAGAACACAACCTTCAGTACAGTGTTAGACACAAGTGAAACCAGTAATAAAATAATGAGGCAATCAAGAGAGAGCAAGATGACAGCAGGTTGAACCAAGATGGCAGCATTACGAGTATTGGAAGTTTTCAGATTCTAGTATATTTTTGAGAGCAGATCAACAGAAATTATTAATATATAAGATCTGTAGCATAGGGAAGGGTGAAAAGACCCAACTGATTCTCAGATTTTGGCTTGAACAATTGGTATAATAAGGCTGGGGATATAGCTCAGTTGGTAGAGTGCTTGCCTCACAAGCACAAGACCCTGGGCTCAATCCCTAGCACCAAAAACAAAACAAACAAACAACAAAAAAGCAAAGACAATTGGTATAATAAGATGGGACTCTTTGGAGGGGAGCCAGCTTTGGAGAAGTCCTTCCAAGAACTCTGTTCTCTATGTAGTAAATTGATGATGCCTTTCAGACATTAGAGATGTCTTACAGTCCTCTAAGTCTGAAGTTTGGGGGAGAATCTAGGACTGGATTTGTAAATGTGGTATAGACATCTGTTGAAATCAGCACAGAGGCTTTTTTTCTTTTGGGAGTATGTTAATGAAAAAGAGAATGAGAGTACAAATGAAAGTAAATATGGGGACTTTATATAAACATTATATCTTACACAGCCTGCCTGTGGTATGGTAGGCATGTATATCATTAATAGTCCATGAAAGTTTGTAGCCAATCTATAGGCAATCTAGAAGTTCCAGAAGGAATAACACCTGATTTAATTTATCTGTGTTGTGTTTTGCAACTTTGAACCATTAAGATTAAATTTATGTTCACAATAATGTTCTTAGTAACAATTTTGGAATTTTAAAAGAAGCAGGTTATACAGAAGTTGTGAAATGTCACTTCAACTTGCCTGACAGTTCATCCCAGTTGCATGGAATTATTTGTTAAGTGTGGTGATGTCTTTGTTATTCTTATTGTGTTGCTTTATCTTTACTGTGGGAAATAGCAAAAATGACAACACATAAAATAATTCTAAATTATCTTCTTAATGTATCTAGTGAAAAGTCCTTTAATAACAATATGAAATATGAATATATATTGTGAGATAGGTAAACCAAATGCTAGTTAAGAAAAGTGCAGTTAGGAAGTATGACAAAGACTATCTAAAAATTAAATTGTACTGAGCCAAGAACACTTTCTCTCCTGGTCTCTGTTGTGCAAGTAAGAAACCTTTGAAGTTTGGTTTCCTATTCAAATAATGCTTGGAATTTTTGTGGTTCAAGTTTTTTGACGTTTTCAGAAACACATGCTAGTTAATACTTTAAAGTGTTTTCTTAGTTGCATTCACCGGAGCAAAACCAGATACAGGACCATTCCTTAAAAAAAATGTGTAACACAAGTTATGATAAAAAAATGAGGCACTGTAAGCTTTTGCCAAAGATTTTTTATTTCCTTATGTAAATGCAACAGTAGTTATTATTATATGTTGAGGTAATCCCATATTTTGCTTAACATTTGGGTGAAACTACTGAATCAGCTCCTGGAATATGTGCAGCACTTATATAAAGAGAATAATATGATGAAATTTTATGTTTTAAAATTTAAAATGCATGCTTAAAAAAAGATCAGAAGTTTCCTTAACTATTTTCTACAATCTGTAATCTGTAATAAAGACTGATAAAAGTACGTTGAGATTACTGCCAAGGGAAAAATATATATACAACTAAGAAAGGCATTGCTCTATTAATAAATAAGCTGCAATTGAATGATAGCCCATACACAGCTTTATTTGCACATGCAGATGGTGATCAGCAGTTTTCTTCATTGTGTTTTATTGTGAAAGATCTTGACAGAACCCTTATAGAATTAAATTGCACTTACTCTGTGCAAGTAACCTCAAAGTTCATGACAGAGAAATGGGCTGACATGTGATAATGTTATTCTATAATGAGCTGCACTGTATATTCATACAGTTTTCCAATGAAAAATGAAATATTTTTGTTATGGTACTGAGGCTTGGGTTGTGGCTCAGTGGAAAGCACTTGCCTTGAACATGTGAGGCACTGGGTTTGATCCTCAGTACTACATACAAATAAATAAACAAAATAAAGATATTTTGTCCACTTTGATTCAAGTGGGTTATGAACTCCCATTTTTACCCCATATACAGATTGCAGAATCACATCGGT